TTGGATGGAACATTGTTCTATAAACTAATTACACGGCACCTATACGACTGTCCCCAAGGGCAACCACGTAGCCGTTTTTGAGACAAGGATAACTCTATCACTAACCAAACCAGTGGTAGCAGTTGACATCTGAGTCAGATGACCGCCTGTATTACTTGGGATAAATGCAGGGGGTACCCTTGAGTTAATAGCCAACAAACATTGGCAAATCAAGGGGTCTAGCCGGCCTACGCCGCCTGGTACCTCTACTTCTCAAACAAAAGTGACGGCGACTGAGTAACTCCAAAGTTAACTCATAGTCACTCCTTCAAATTTGGTATGGAATCTAAAAAGTTTGAGTCGTCCGCCTATTTTAAACAAACAAGGGCACTCGAACCCCTATTCCTACTAGATAACCTATTGAGTTAATAGCCAACAAACATTGGCGAATCAAGGGGTCTAGCCGGCCTACGCCGCCTGGTACCTCTACTACTCAATCTAGATTGTGACGAAGACTAAGTAACTCCTAAGTTAACAGTCACTCAAACTTAGTATGGAGCCTAAAAGGTATGAGTCGTCCACTTGTTTTTAATAAACCAGGGCTCTCAACCAATACTCTTGCTAGGTTAACAAATTACGAGTTAAAAGCCAACATTGGCAATAAAGGGAAACAGCCAGCACCCGCCGCTTGTTATCCTACTTAATTCCTTGGCAACTAGGAAATACTATTTACTTGGTCAGACAAATTGAATAAAGAGTTCGAATACCGATTGAATAAATGGCCGACTGATCATCTATCCTGGAAACAGACAACCAGTCGTCCAGGGGCATAGGCGGCATACTTACTATTTGTACCTGTCTTAACGTTCGGCCATACACAACAGTCGGTCTAGTGAACAAATTAAAAATACTTAGACAAATTTGAACCAAAACAAAAATTTGATTAAAAATGAGCCGGCCATTAAAGACCAGCAGAATATTCAAAACCCCGGCCCCTGGCCGGGTAATTATAAAGTAAACGGCACGCAGGCCGTGAAAAGAAAAAATACTTAAAGCTTAAGAAGGGGGCAGTTCAGTATCAGCAGCTGCCGCCTGGTCAGCACTCTTCTTGCTGGACTCGGCCTTAGCTGCACCCTCTTTTGATGCCTTACCCCAAGTGGCACAAGCGCCACAACCGGCTCTTCCTCCTCCAACGCACCGTCCAACGCCTCTTCTTCAGCAGCCGCCAGGATCTGTTGATTATATATTTTCGAACACTGGCGGTACGTTCTTTCCCATGAGGCAAAGTCGGCACTGGGGAACAGTCGTTCCCAGGTCATGCGCTGGATTTGAGCGGAGTCTTCCACCATCTCCCGGACGAGCTCTTGTTTCTCTTGCTCGGCCTTATCCGAGAGCTCTTGGGTAAGACTCTTCTCTTGGTTCACCAGGCGTTCTTTTACGTTGGCCAAAGATTTCTCCATGGCTTCGTAAGAGTGCATTTTTTGGCGAAGAGGTTTCAGCTCGGCCTTAAGGTTGGTGACGGTCGCCTCCAGCTCGTCAACCTTCTTTTGGGCCGCCTCTAACTGAGCCCGAACAGCGGCGGTAGCCTGCGCCTGATAATAAAGAAGATCAATGGTCAGTACTTCATTTTGGGCAATTTGAAACATTGCCTTATCACAGCTGGAGGCGGCCATAGCTTTTGCGGCCTTTACCTCTTTGTTTTTCCGATCAATCGGCTTGCGAAGGCTGTTGACTCGGAGCAGGGCCTAAGTACAAAGAAAAACAGGCGTCAGTTTCCAAACAAAAAAGTTAACAGGCGTCCTGGAACTCAAAAGCTCAAAAATATGCTAAGTATACCTCAGCTAGGACCCCTGAAATCCCATCAAGGTCAAGGGTGCCGGCACCCCTGACCGCCTCCCTGTCAGATGGAGGAACTACTTTAACCATAGACTTGGCTACCTCAACCAAGTCAAGTCCCTGGGGGCCGGCTGCATTAAGTGAAAGAAAAAAAAAAAAAAAAAACAAGTTAGACCTAGTCAAGAAGGAAGCAAGGGTGAGTTTTTACAAGTGAGTGTCCATACATCTAGGCGGCCCCGCCTGGGTTTTTGAAGAAGTGGCCGGCTGCTTCTCAGCCGCCACTGTTTTCCTGGAAGACCCAGGAGAGCTTGCAACAGTCGTCCTCCGGGCCTTGGGGGTCCGGCTGTTGCGAGGAAGAAGCCCTTGGAGTGCCAGACTGAAAACAAAAAGAGTTAGTATATGCATAAGACAACTAAAAGAGGAAGAGTTTTCGAGGCTTACCAAGGGTGCCTCCTTGTTGGGGGAGTCGGCATACGACTGTTTCATGAGCGAGGCCCGCAACATGGCCGCCGCAGTCTTGGATGCTGTTATTTTACTCATGGCGTCAGCTGCAAGAAATAAACAGCAAAGTTAGTAAAAATCCCAAGTAAACAAGGCGTGAAAAAACAGAGTATTTGTCAGGCCGGCTACCTCTAGAGCACCGACTGCCGAGGCCACAGGCGGCCAAAAAGTACTCGTCATAGAGCCACTTGAAGCTCGGGACGCAGTTTAGGGGTACTTGCTCTCGTACCCCTGAAGTAGAGTTCACCCTAGTCTCTACTTTGAAGAGTCCTTTGTCTAGGATCTCTTTTTTAGCCTTTGGGGGAACAGGCGGCATGCTGCGGCCGCCTGCGAGAAGAGGCGGATCCCTATTCCACTTGTTAAAGCGTTTTTTCAGCTCCGTGTCTGAACCCTCGATAATAAGGAAGGTGTTCCGCCAATCCTTCCATTTGTTCGCCTTACCTCTCGTCATGAGGTAACCCCTATGGCTTGTTAGTTGGTACCAGCCGGTACCTCCCGACTTAGGGGTCCGGCTGAGATAGTTCATATGGGCGAAAGCCTCAAAGCTTGGCTCCACCCCGTACATTTCGCACCCGGCCACATAGCCGAGTACGTTTACCCAAGAGTTGGGGGCTAACTGCCATAACCCCAGATCATACCCATCTAAAATCCGCTGAACAGCCGGATGTAATGGGAAGCGCAGTCCAGCTTTGATGGCCGCCACATAGCAGCCAAAGCAGCCGTCACCATAGCTGGTACCAGCCGGCCAGACGACAGTGTCTTCTGGATCCGGCACAAACAGTAAAAATTCCGGGCCCATTTTGTGGTTAGCAATAAAGCTCGCCACGTTGTCCTGCATGGTTGCGATCCGGCCCCGGGGTACCATGCAGTAGTAGGGGGCGTTTTCCTCTCTGTAAGAGGCGGACGGCTCCGCCCAATTGTCCCCCTTCTCAACTGCGTGAGAAAGTCTCGCCTCTTGTAGGCGGCTATGTTTTTCTTCTGAGCCAGGAGAACTGTGGCCAGAAGAGCTGGACTCGGACTCGTCCTCTGACGAGTCCGAAGAGGACGACTCCTCCCCTCTCCCAGAGGGGCCCGCCTCCTCTCCCTTAGAAGGAGCAGAAGGAAAATTAGACATGTCAACGGTAAGATGGGAAGGGAACACCTTGGCCCCTCTCTCAGAACTGTCGGCTTGACAGTCGCCTCGTTCTACATCTGGCGCCTGGTCAGATGTTTCACTAAGGAGCACCCTTTGGGAGGAGCCGTCTGAGTTTGATATCATAGCAGTCTTTTTTGTTCTGGCCATCACGTTCTGCATAGACACAGATACAGTCGGACTTTGTATAAAGGGCAAAGATGGGTCCAGAAAAGGGCAGGCGGCACTCCTAGTCCTAGATTCAGCCGTCCCCGGTGACCGGCTGATCACTAACTTAGGTCGTGTCGTGTGCTTCCATGGTGCCATTTCAAAAAATAAAAGGAAAATTAAGAGTAAGAGAACTGAGTTACCTGAACGAGTGACGGTTGATGAAGTCCTGGAAGTTCGGGTCAGTCGGCTTGTCAGAACAGGCGGTAGGCAGAAAAGGTCCGAAATGTCAGAGCAAGTTCAGGGGTCCGAATGTTCTCGCAAAGTTCTCAAATGTGAAAATGACCGAAGTCAGCACTTCCTTATATAGGCAAGGTGAGAAGGCGAAAGGTCGCTTCCAAATTCAAAATTTGGGCGGGAAAATCTCTCGGCCGTTTGCAAGGTGACACCTGTAACAGGCCGTCGCCTGTCACCGTGCGACACCTGTCACAGGCGACACGTGACCAGTCACGTGCCACCTGTGAGGGGCAAATGATTAGGGGATTTTTATCCACCAATCACCGTCTGACAAGTGGACCAACCAGGTTCCGCCACGTGTCCTTCACGAAGGCCAACAGGAACCTGCCACGTGTCAATCACAGATACGTCCTCTACGGACCAATTTAGACACGCCACGTGTCCACCCATGCCAAATGGGAAAACCGGCCATCAAGGCCCAATTCAGTCTAGAGGCCCGATCAGCCCTAGGTTTACCTTAACCCTAGAGGGTGGCACGCTTCTCAAGGCTATAAATACTCAATTAATCCTCATTAATTAAGCAGTGAAAAAGGTAATCAAGCAGAGAAGAACAGAAATATTACGGAACACCAACAACCGGCTAATCTCGCCAACGACGCAGATTACCAACACTAAGCACTCTCACCTAGAGAGATCTCATTACTTTAATTTCTGTATTAATTACTCCTTAATCAAGTACTAACTTGACCGTTGGAGGCGGAGCTCTCAAGAGTCTCCGTTATTTTGCAGGTACAGGCGTCCGGTTCCAGTCTCGGAATTGTAACTCTCCCGCAGGACATCAGAAAACCCCGAAACAGAAATAAAACCGAGTTATACGATATTTATTAAAAGTTATGATTAATTTTGTATATATGAAATATTGGAAGCATAGTGATAATAAAACTGTATACAACAATTTTATCTTTAAAAAACCTATCCAAGAATCGCTTACTTAGCATCATATGTGTCACAATAATACATATTTTTCGCCTACGTGTGACGTGACACTTGGCGAAAAAATTGGAATGTCAAGTGTCGCTGTCTCGTGGCCTGCCTGTGAGATCGGTTTTACAATTAGTGATATGATATGATATTAGATTATTTTTTAAAAATAAAACCCCACAAACTTGTGATTGAGAAATATGTCACAAACTTTAATAACTATAGAATATGGACCTCCTTGTTCTAAATAAATAAATCAATAAATAAATAAATAGAATATCGACCTCCAATCACATTCTTTTGATCATGCTTAGTCACACAAATACAACAAAGAAATTACATTATATTACAATAAACTATATAGAAAAAGATCGAAATTACAATACAAAAGCCCCAAAGTTATAATCACAAAAATGTATTTTGTATAACACACTATACATACACACTCATTCCTTAAACATCCAAACCAACCCTACCCCTTTTCAATTAATTACAAATACGATGAATACAAGAGATCAATACAAAAAAACATTGCCCTTGAATCATTTCTCCTAGGACACCCAAACCATAAAAATGGTTTAATGTACAAAAAAAACTAGATTGTAAAGCTTGAGGAAACAAATATAAATAAAACAAAAAGAATCAAAAATCATGAAATTTATCATCATTGTTGTTGTCCCCTTATTTTTTCTCCTTGAGAAGGGCTTCTCCAAAATCCTGCAGAGTAGAATTTTTCCCACATTTCCTCTTCCAATTGCATCAACTCCTTATCCATGATAATATTATCATCACTGCTAATACTCCCACAAGTTTCAGGATCCATCACCACCATTGTCGTCGTGTGATCGGTTTGGTACCTCATATCTTCTAAAGGGATACTATATCGACATGGACTTTCCCTACTCGAGGCGGCGAATGATTGTAGAGGGAGAAGGCCTTTTTTCATCATTTGTCGCCTTCGGTGTGTTCTTAGGGCCTTCTTGCATATACTTGCAGGAACCTTGTAGACAAATAGCACAAACAAATTGATTAATGTGCATGGACAACAACACCACACCGCAGCGCACTCCGCTGTGGTGCCTCCGGCCATCTCCGCCACTCTACCACTAGGTGGTGATGACGGAGATGGCTGTAGGAGTGCGTGTTTCCTCCTATACCCCGCTGTCCCCGGACGGAGCTTCATCTTCTTCTGAGTCGTCGTCATAATATACGTACTAATAATAATAATGATCTATATATATATATATACATATGCACTTTCATATATTATAATCAATGATGATCAATTTCCCTGACTCCTGAAGAACATTCAGGAGTCGGGTTATGGAAATCCCTTCCTTATATTCGTTTTAAATTTTTTAAAATTATATAAGTTAATAGAAAAGCCAATAGCCCGACCTCACAAGCGGATCTGAAGAGATCCGGCTGTGATCAGGGGGAGGACGAATATTAGCTTCTTCAAGGACGATCATGGAAATTTAGGATATAATAATAGTTTTTAAAATTGAAAAATGTAGGCTTTTCCTTGAAAAGAGGGGAGGTGTTTTGATATATTGGTCTAGTTTTTTTTCCTCCTATTTTTATGTTGTAATGAATGAAATTTTCGCAGGAAATTTATGATGTTTTGTGGTACATATTGAATTGTGGACAAGAGAGTTTGAGACAGAAGGTGGAAGACAATGATGAGTTGCACTAAAATTATTTTAGCATTTGAAGCAACTCCATATCAAAAACTTTAAGGTATAATAGGTGCACGTACAAGCATTATGCTTATTTCATATTGTTCAACTATTAAATTCCATTAGTTTTTTAAAAAAAATTAATTAGATAAGGAGCTTGGTTGATTAAATGTTACTTTTGAGATTTGGTCAATAAAAAAAGGAGGGGAAAAAAAAGTACTATGTATTATGTTGAATAAGGAAAATAATAATGTGAAATGAAACTTCTATTTAGGGTTAAATATTTTCAGTGAAATGAGACTTCTATTATAAACAATTTTTTATTTTTTTTTATTTTTTTTGTACTATATTAATTGAAAATAAGGATAAGTCCACACTTACTACGCCGTATTTAATTTTTTAATTATCTATAAGGTGTTAAATTTAATTATCAGTCTGGTTATATATAAGGATCTAAAATTTAATAAATTTTGGCAAAATATTTCTATCAAGTTAATCATATTGTTAGTCCATTTATGTGGGAAAGCAAAGTTTCATCTAACAAAATAATAACTTTATAGAACTTTTGTTTGTGGATTTTTTTTAAGAAAAATTAGAAATAATAATCCCAACTTTCATGAATTTTGCTATAATAATCCCAACTTTGAATTATTGTGGAATAATCTGAACTTTAGGGATTCTTTTTCTTCAGTCCCAAAAACCGGTGATCGGTTGACTGGTTTTTTTTTTCTTTTCTTAAAGTGACACCGACACATGTCACAAGTGAATTGGCTAAAACAATTTATAAAAAAAAAAAAACAAACAAACACCAACTAGACCCCAAAATCCCGGCCACTAGCCAAACCCCAAAAACCACCAGCCTAACCCCAAACGGCGGCGGTTGTTGCCCTTCCCCCTCCCCTGTGCGCCGCTATATCCCCTCTCCCTGCGCCGATTTCCCCCACCCACTCGCCGGTCCTCCTTTTCCTGTTTTCCAGCTACCCCTTAATCTAAAACCCCCAACATCCTCCACTTGAAAATCGCTTAAAACCACCTCTCCCACTCCCGAAAACTCCTCCCCACCGTAGAAAATCCTAGCCGCTTAGGGTTTCGGGGTGGTAGGAGGAACGATTTGGGGTTTTTAGCAGTGGGGAGGGGTTTCATTAGTGGATTCGGGGTTTCGGGGTGGTGGTTTCGTGGGGAATGGGGGGTGTTTCGGGGAGGGAGGAAGACGGCGACGCGGTGGAGGTTGTTTCACGTGGCTGGCCGGCGAGAAAGGGGCGGCAGGCTGGGCAGTAGGGTACGGTGGTGGTTAGGGTGGGCCAGTGGGGGAAGGGGAGGCTCATTGGTGGTTTGGTGATTTTTGGATTTTTTTTTTAAAATTTTTTGGACCAATCAGGGGTTGACACGTGTCAAGTGACCTAATATAATAGGTCATTGACTTTTGTTGACCGGTTAGGGATTGAAGAAAAAGAAGAACCCCCAAAGTTCGGATTATTCCATAATCCATAATAATCTAAAGTTGGGATTATTGTAGCAAAATTCATGAAAGTTGGGATTATTGTTTCTAACTTTTCCTTTTTTTTTATTGCTTTAAAAAAATGTTAAATGTTATTTAATATATGTATTTAGTGGATGTCCATTATACCCTTATGATTATTCTAGGATATTCTAGATATACTAGACTTATTATTCTACAAGGAAACCCTAATAGTATCACATGTATATATATATATATATATATATATATTATATATATATATATATATATATATATATATAATATATATATATAATATATACTCCCACATCATCCAGTAATAAGAATATCGATCTATTCTCTCCCCCACTTTTCCTCTTTCTCTTTAATCATAACACGTTATCAGCACCAAAGCTTAATATAATTGAATTAGTTAAATTACGACGCATAATTCATCCGTGATCAGGTATGTAGTCACCTCCATTTTTTATTTTTGAATTTCTTGAGTAACGTAAGTACAATTGATCATTTGCACAATAGATTTGTTTTATATTCTTCTGCTTTTGATTTTCTAATAAATCCACCCCCTAGTGACATGGCATAATCAGCTAGCAACATTACCGCAAAATTATATTACGTTTTGGTTAACTATTTAGTAACATGATTGATATTGTAGTGTTTAAATCCTTCTCGTACTATAGTTTAGGATGCATTACTATATAGTTCCGAAGTCAACAATCTTGTTTCTGATCTGCAATTTTGTTTAATAGTTATTTATATCTATTATTAGATCCCCAATTCCTTTTAACTCACTACCTTGAGTGATTAATTAATTATTCAATAAGCAAGTATTAATTTATTTATTTTACGCTTGTTTGATGTGATAATTTGATATATCAAAAGGTAACCTGATGGTAGTGGTAGTATAACATATCTATATGCAATTCAACTAAGTGAGTAAGTGGTGATGAGTGTTTTACCACATATATGATGATTAATTATTTTTCCATCTCCGTAAATTTATATTACCTTATGTACCAGTACCAATTTTAATTTACCTTATGTGTCAGTACCAACTATAGATTTATTTGCAAAGCTGGTCGGATTAATAATTTTCATGGTTTTGATTGACTTTGATATTAATCCTAGTTTTATCTTGAATAAGTTTGGTTACTTCATATTTTTAACTCCGTATTTAGTTTAATGTAAGGTATAGTAAATAAATTATGTCATTATAATAAATCTATATTACAATTTTGTTTGTTGATTTTATTTCGTTTGCTGGTTTTAGAATTGTAACCGTATCTTATACCATGAAGGAAATTGATTTATTCTGTGAGTGTTATATTGCTAATCAGAGAATATATATACAAATTACAAGCTAGAAGTTAGGCTACAAAAATTAGCTAACTAAAAGATAATGTTGACAGCTATCATTAACTCACTAAAATAGCTAAACGTTTGCTAACACTAAGGAAAGGAAATATATACTAGCTAAATTAGATATATACAAATAATTATAGAATATATGATAAACATATTCTAACACTATCAAACTTGATTAGCATTATCCTTAGATTATCAATTAGTCATGATAATTTATTATAAATATATCTCTCTAAGTGATTTCCAAATTAAGTCCTCATTTATAGTATTTATTTCCCATGACAAGTTTATATCTTATACCCCGTATGATAAATGACATGCGTTTGGTATACTGGTCTATTAAGTTCACTACTAAAGAGAATCACACTAGTTTTGATTTGTTATGGAGAATACATATTGGGTTATTAGTCTACCTAGTTGTTAAAAGAGCTTAACTTTGATTAAATTAAGTGACTTTAATGAGTATGGATTAAACTTTGTGGACTAAATTTTCATAAAATGCAATGAAGTCTTTAAAGATGATCAATATTGTTTGTACTTTATGAATGGGATTACTTGTATGTGGTGACCCAAATAATCTCATTGACCATATGAATATTTGCTTAAAGATATTTGAAGTCGTTATCAAGAACTAAAATTCATGAGTATGATTTGGCTCTTTGATAATATATAGCATTGTTTTTAACTACCTTTATGATTGAGATTTCTAATATTTGCATGATGTCATATACTTAATTGACTGTATGGATATTTTCTAGTTGACCTCAAATTATGTTAATTATAATCCATCTTGTTTTTTTTTTATTCCTTTATTTTGTTTATTAGATGGAAAAAGAGTTGATTGATAAATTATAGTTAGTGATGATAATAATGACTATTACATGAGATCCAACATATCATTTCTATGAATTGAAATGGTAAACTTTCAAACTAATACTCATTCGCATCCCCATTTTTGGGACTTGAAGTTTCACATTTTGTTCTTTCAATACTAACATGCTTACAATGCTGAATATTGATTGATGTATGATTGAATTCAATTATATATGATCTCATATGTCTACAAAAAGTTGGTTTGTAAGAATGATGAGTAAATTGAACATGAAATACTAAAAAATATGGACTTGAAGTTCCTTAAAGTTATGAAGGGTTAACAACATCCAAAAGTTAATATTAAGATACATATATGACTTAGAAATTTCTATTATTTTCTAAGGTACGTTGCTAATATACAATTCATAATACTAATGTGATCCTATAAACACAATGTCATGAGAATGATTATACAAAAGATTTTGAATAGTATTCTAGATTTCGAACTTTGGGTGAGAATTGATGATTTAATTTATAGATTACTAGATTTACTCAATTCCAGAAGTGAATGAGAATTTATAGGATTAAAAAGATAACAAACTTGTTTGTATGATATGTTATTGATTATAATTCATTTAAAAGTTCATAAGAATATCAATTTGAACAAGAAATAGTGTTATGATGAGTTCAAGAAATTAATCATGACATGTTATAATTCATTTAAAAGTTCATAAGAATATCAATTTGAACAAGAAATAGTGTTATGATGAGTTCAAGAAATTAATTATGATGAGTTCAATTTTTTCAATTTGTGTTCGATTTTTATGGCTTAATTTGTTCAATTTGTGTTCGATTTTTTCGGCTTAGTTTATCACTTTGTGTTCGATTTTTCAATTTCATCATCAAATTTTATGAATTTTGTGTTTGTGTTGATAATTTTGATGATATTTTTCTGATTTTGTGTTTTTGTGGACATTTAAGTCTGTTTTTGCTTAATTATTTCATGTAATTGTGTTTATTTTTTGGACATGTAATGTTTTGATGTTTGCTAGCTACTTGTTAAATAATGCAGTGTAAATGTTTTGTGTTTTAAGGTATGTGAGCAACTTACTTAAGAATATTTATTATGCCCATACTTATAAGAGATTAATATAATTGGGCAAGCGTTACGAGTAAAAGTTTATAAGATGATTTTATTATGCTTGATACATGCATTGCTAAAAGAATTTATGCCTTAAAAGGTGGAAGAGATTTAAAGGTTGTTGGATTCATTTCATGCCCCATATGCAAGGATTAGGGGGAGATTGTATTTATTCCCTTATTTTATGTAATCCTTGGACATAAATAATAAAATATATTGATGGTTAGTTTGGTACATACATTAACTTAAATATCAATGATTTATTTAATAGAAGTGGCCACATGTTAATTAAATATTTTGAAACGATACCATCCTGTAGATGGATAAAAATAAATGTCATTGATCAAATATACTAGTTGTAAATGCTACAATCAAAATTGATTTCTCAGAAGGACAACATCAATTGCTAATGAACCTATAGCACGCCTGAAGCGTGATAGATCAATAGGTTCTAAAAATAATTCAGTATCGTCGAAAAGGAAAGAAACCACTATTGACAATGACAAATTTGAGAAAGTGATAAATCCCATTACATTTCTAGAAGAAATCACTTTTAGTAAAGTTCATATGTTCCATGATTATATACAAGACTCCATAAGAGTATTAAATGTCCAACAAGATTAACATGTATCAAGATAATAGTCAAAACTCTAGCAGAGTATGAGTAATTATTGGATAATATATTAGTTAATTGTCTTGCCAATTGTATATAGAAACATATGTTAGGGTTCTAATATCACATCATGGTCATGGCCATGCATAAAGTAAATTTAAGTGATCACTAGTGTTGGAAAAATGACCAGAATTTAAATTTAGATAAACGATTGGATGTGATAATTAAATTAGGCCATCCGGGTTCAATAAATACCCGTTATGGAAACTTGAAGTTTCATTTGATAATGTGCTGACACTCTCTCAATGTTAGATATATGAAATGAATTAAATGGCAAGACATAACATTGAGATTGAGCTATAATAATTTGTGTTGATCAAAATTTCAAGAGTTAATAGGTTTTGATTTTTTTATATACGAAAGAGTAATAGGTGACCAGAAGTTCACCAAAATAACTTATATATTATTGTCAAGTTTTAGGTGACCAGAAGCTCACCACCTAGTAGAATAACAAGCAAGTGATTTACGCTTGGGGATATTATATGTCAGCACATCACAAAGAGGAGAAGAGGGAAAAACATAAAACTGCACAACACATGTCTCCTCATTGACATTGATCTCCAGAAGAGAACATATTATGGAAATTGTAATAATAAATACACATGCAATGTAAAGTTAATGAAGAAATGATTCTTCATTGAAATTCTTCTCTAGAAGAGATAAATGTTGTTTAATACAAATCTTCTGAGAGATAAATTTTGATTGTGATCCTCGCATGAAATGAATTTTAATGCAAATTTATATACTAAGTTGGTATAGAGTTAGATGCCCCTCTAAATGAGATATTTTACCAACTTAGGGGGAGAAGAATCAGCAAAATTTAAAAAATCGAAAAGAATTTGATGATCCCTATAATGGTAGTTTGAAAAGTTATATGCCAACTTTTGTCTATATATTATCAAGATATGTTGCACATTTATGATTTGATTTGTATTCGGTTATGACTCATGTTGCATTTGAATATACATTTTGGTCATATTATGTGTATACATTGAGATAAAATCTTGTCAATTATACTTGAATCACTACACCTGAAGTGTGGGTTGTATGATCGGTTCCAAAATAAAGATATGATATGTGGCAAAATAGTGCAGTTAACACTTTTAAGATTATAATAGTATATAAATACCATAGTGTATGAAATACCCCAAAAGTGGTATAGATATCTGAATTATTACAATAAATGGCCTATGATGTAAGAATATTTATGATGGTACCAATGAGAAATGTATTCAGATATCATTGTCAAAATAGCATGCAAATTAAAACTGTACCTTGAGGAATTATATGCTGATACCGGTATATGATGGAACCGATAAATAATGCATATGCATGATAGAATGGACTAGTGAATAAGGGATCTTAAAAATATGTTCATTTTTTTCGACATGAAACTAAAATAATAAATCAAAATTTATCACGGACTAGTAGTCCAATTAGAAAATGGATTTCTGAAATCCACACTGTACAGTGTTTGCATTTTTTAGTCTTTTATTTATGTGCATGTTCGAGTTTTAAATTTATGAACTCATTGTATGTATAGGATGTATTTTGATGCGTTACTCATTACATATATATTTTGTTTAATGTATTATCATGAATTCTACATCTCATATTGCATGCATTACAACAATTGTGTTATATGTGAATGTTTATGGTATGACGAGTTTATAATTATGATGAAAGCTTACAAGAAGAAATTTATACTCTGATGGGCTTATAATTGTGATGAAAGTTTATATGATGACGATCCAGTAGCATGTTATGAATCATGCATGAAAAGTTTCCCGCAGAACTTATATACAACGTTTTCAAATATCTAGCCCTTCAAATTCTATATTCTGAAAAATGACAATGTTGATATTGTTATCAAACTCATGGAGAGTATTGGTGACTAAGTTATTGAAATATCAACCTGAAGTGCAAAATGTCTAAAGAAGAATAGTAATGAGCTATATTGCAGTAAGGATAATCTTCTTATGGTCCAGAAGAACCACGAGTAAAGTATATAATAATACTTATTGATAAGGGATTTTTCCCTACCAATCATCATCTGACAAGTGGACCATTCAGGCTCTGCCAAGTGTCCGCCACATGGGCCAATAGAAGCATGCCACGTGTCAGCCGTTGATCTGTCCACCATGGACTAGTTGTGTCAAGCCACGTGGCCTCCATATGCCAAACAGGCCAAACGATCACCTAGGCCCAATTTCCAAGGGAAGCCTAGTCAGCCCTAGGTTAACTTAAACCTAGTATTTGGCACGTTTCCCAAGGTTATAAATACTCTAATTAATCCTCATTAAAGGGGGGAAAAAAGAACATTAATTACACTGACCAAAAACACTTAGATCACTCCTCACCTAGAGGAACCAGATCTCCCAACCTTTACTTTTCCGCACTATTCACTCCTCATACACGTTCTAACTTGATCGTCGGAGGCGGAACTCCCACCACAAGGAGTCTCCGTTGTTTTGCAGGTACAGGCGCAAGGATACCAGTCCCGGAATTGTAACTCTCCCGCTGGACATCAAAAAACCCCGAAACACTTATGTTATATTATTACTAAATCATATAAGCTTAGATAATGATATCAAGATATCACGGGTTGCCATAAATTATTATCAATATTTGAGTATCAATAGCTACTTTTATGACCTCCAGAAGTAGGCATAATTTCGATGGTAAGGCAACTTGAAACAAAAATGTCATATAAGATAGTGGTAAACGCCACATAGGTATTGTTCTCACAAGTATGGATAAATGAAGATGCTTTACAGTGAAGATTCAAGTTTGATCAGGGAGGATCAACTATCAAGGAATGTTATTCAGCTACAAGTGTGAAGTTAATAAGGCATTGGATTCATTACATTGGAAGATCTCAAGTTACGCATTCATCAGGAGGAGAAAATACGCACTGCACTCTTTTTCCCTTAACCATGGTTTTGTCCCACATTGGGTTTTCCTGGTATGGTTTTTAACGAGGCAGCATGTCAAGGCGTATTATGAAAGTGTTGTACTCTTTTTCCTTCACTAGGTTTTTATCCCATCGGGTTTTTCCTAGTAAGGTTTTAACGAGGCACACTAGTTATTCGATAATGGTCATCCAAGGGGGAATGTTATATAATATATGTATTTAGTGGATGTCCATTATACCCTTATGATTATTCTAGGATATTCTAGATATACTAGACTTATTATTCTACAAGGAAACCCTAATAGTATCACATGTATATGTATATATGTATATGTATGTATGTATATATATGTATGTATATATGTATATGTATGTATGTATATATATGTATGTATATATGTATATGTATGTATATATGTATATGTATGTATATATGTATATGTATGTATATATATATATGTATGTATATATATATATATATATATATATATATACTCACACGTCATTCAGTAATAAGAATATCGATCTATTATCTCCCCCACTTTTCCTCTTTCTCTTTAATTTCATAACATAATTGTTTTTTTTTTTTGTTTTTTTTTTTATTATTTTTTTAAATTTTTTTTTTACCACCCTAACAAATAATAAAAGGTTGTATTTTGTCACCAACCAAAAAAAGTAAATATTGAATTCTACCACTATTTAGCAAATTCCGTCGATAAGAAATTAATTTTAAGAAGGAATTGAATAGGTGAAGATGGAATATGAGAGAAGGGTATGTAATGGAAAATTGTGGAAAAGAAGGGAAAAAAAAAATTTGTTAGATGAGCCTAACTAACGAATTCATGATCATAATTTCTTCAACAATAAGGCTTGTATAAGGCGGGCTTACGTTAATTTTATTATAAGACGGTTAATTAGAGGGTAACTTTACAATTTTATAGCAAATTTAAATTTTAATGAGTTTGATTGTATATTAATACGTAAATTCTAATCGATGCATGTTATGAAATATAATATGATTAATCTAATACATTATCAGTGTTTTTAAAGGGTAAATTTTATGTTAGGAAAATGGTAACTTTTGTTTTTTTAGTTTTTTTAACCCGTCTTACAATAACTTAATGAAAGTCCGCTTTAATTAAGAATTTATGTTTTCTCAAGATTGAGTTGGTAAAATCTTAATTTTATTTTTTTAGTTGGTGGTAAAAAATAATTTTTTTATAGAGTGATTTTAAAAATAAAAAAATAAAAAAACAATTTGAAGTTTTTTTTTTAAAGGTGATAAAAAAAAAATAAAAAAAAAATCTATTATTACATATACGTAGAACTTAGTACTTAGTACTCAATTAAGTACTTAATTACTCACTCCTTTCCTTTTTGTTCTTCCCATTTGAAATCTTGACAATATTCATAAAATAAGATAATCTTGTAAATAATTACTCTCAACATATAAAACATAACTTAGTGATGTTGGTCTCATATATTTGATTCATCTCAATGAATAATTTGTTAATATTTAGATCAAATGTTACTAATTTAAAGATATTTATGATAAATTGACAATTGTGCATTTCGTGCATATTCAAATTAGAAAGAATTTTTAGGAATGAATTGACAAAGTATATGTTATAAGATGGTCCTTACTTAGAATATTTAATTAATTATTAACAAAAGAAAAGAAAACAATTACGTCATGTATATACTATTAGGCTATTGGCGATCCTTACCCTTTTTAACTTAGCAATTTGATAAAAGTAATTAACTTTCTAATTACCAATACTGAAATCTTGCACTAAAATCTACCATATCCTATATTTAGTTGGCCACCCTTTTATTATTAGAAAGAGAAAAAGATAGAGATTAATACTAAGAAAAAATGGCGCCATTGTTTGTAGCCGTTAATTAACCCCCAAATATAGACACCACTATATATAACTTTGTGAGGCATCCAAATTGTTTGCATAATTCCTTCCTCTAATAAATGAATATATTTTGGATTAAAAAAAACTCTAATGTACTTTCTATGGTATACAAATTACATTGATTTGTAACTATACACAAAATCATGCCACCCTCAAATTCTCTTTCCTTAATTTCTTTCTCATCTTCATGTTCAATTTTTAAGGCGATGTTTTGAGTTTTGGTTATATAAATCTCTTTGAGAAGGGGAGAGGAAATTAGAGAAAATGGATGGCTCAATGAGCATGGGAGTTATGGCTGTTTTCGCGGTCTCTGGAAGTGTAGCACTCCTTGCACTCCAAGTCCACAATCGCCTCCTTTCGGATTTTATGAAGAAAATTGATTTCGAATTTGGTAAATTTACTAATATAATTTAATGTTTGTGAATCTTAATCCTTTTGCATGTAACACTTTATTTCATGCTCGTTCCTATCATTTTGGTGTTGCACTACATGTAAAATTTGAATATTGAAATCTCTCAAGCCCTCAACTTCTCCTCGGCAAACACCCTTTCATTGTGCTAAGGACATAGATATGGAAAGTGTCAAAACATAGATATATATAACAACCTGTTTCTTATCTTTGATCAGGATGTGGAAAATGTCAATGCAAGAGAAGAATTCAATTCGCGGATAATGTACAAGAGCCATTACCCATCAAATGTGAAAAGGAATCAAGTGAAACTAACCCCGCAAAACCATGTTGTGAAAGGAGCTACAATGGAGAAGGTACAATGCCTCTTAACAGGTTGGCATTATACAGAGGCATAATTAAGAATAAGATGTCATTTCCTAAGTCGGAATATAGAGTCTCACGAGGAAGGAATGTACTTTATGTTCATACTAATAGCTACTAATTTTTCGATGTATAAATAAATTGATTTCTTTTAAAGCATGAGATTGTGTGTGTGTGTGTATATATATATATATATATATATATATATATATATATATATATATATATATATATATATATATATATATATATATATATATATATATATATATATATATATATATATATAAAAGAAGAGATTGTATATATTTTGTGATGAATAAGGAGGTGGTTTTTTTTTTTTTTTGGTCATGATCTTTATAGAGGTAATTAATTAATAGATCATTAATAAAAATTAAAGAAAATCCACTCTAGTAATAAACAAATTGTTGGAAGAGGTTAGTCAAATAAAAACTTTTGATGAAAGTTGTCCATAACAAGTACAATCTTCATAGTTTCTTTACTTCTTATACTACAATTGATATTTAATGTAATTCTTGTATCCTTTTATCAGAATCATTACATTTTTTTTTCAATTATTTTACCATATGATGAGCAAGAATTGATAAAGTACTGTTGCTTGCAAAATTAACTTAGGACAACATAAATAAGTTTTTTTTTTTTAAAAAAAAAAAAAATATGAAGGGGGTGAAAGGGGGAGTACTCGTAAAATTTCAAAAAATAACCAGCAGTGAAGACAAATAGGCTACACCCTTAATAATAAAAGGATTTAGGTTCTAACCATAATACAGCAAAATTGAGTCTTACTTCATATTCATCCTGCCATCCATATATCAAACTGCTTAGGCTTCTGAAAAGATAACAGGAAAACCGCCTATAACTAATCCTATGATTTATACTCATAAAGCACAATAAGGTAAAACAAATCGACTTCTCCAGGTTGTCCCACCTTATCCCAGGAAGTTCATGATAACCAAATGGAGAACTAGATTGCAAAGAACAAAGTCTGCAAACGCTCGCTCTGGAGTTAAATCCTGCAATGGAATTGATATCATTAGACATTTTCTCTCTAAGGCCATGCTTGGATTGGGGGTAATATATTAAAGGGGTAATAAAAGTCAAACTTGAAAAAACACAAGTAATTAGAGGTGTTGTTGGAGGTAAGGGTGTTTACAAAAGAAATAAGATAGTTGTTCCATGAGGAAAAGTAATAGATGGAGGAATTATTACCCCCTCATAATGAGGGTAATAGTTACACACCCTCCCCCTAGTGTAACTATTACCCCCAAAATGAGCATTTTTCTTCACCTTATACCTCACCATCACTACATAATTTTTCTTACATACACACCATCGCTATCTCCTCCTTCCCTATTTACTTTCATTTTGCTTAGTTTGACTTTTATTACCCTAGTAATACATTTCCCTCAATCCAAGCATGCCTAAAGGAAATCTTTTACAAGGGGATTATTTTTTCAAGTAATTCCTAGTACTAGAAGTAAGTAGCACTATTGATTCAGGGCGATTTGATGTTTTGGTTAACAAAGACATGAATCAATAGAGCAGGCTACAAACCCAAGTTTTAGTAAAGTCAGGACTTCTGTAGCTATTCTACTACAAGGCAAGATAACGTATAGAACTAGGCTACTGAGATAATATTCAAGACCTAAATCAGGTGCTCCTTTGCTAATTTGCTATTTGTCTAAGGAAAAAACGGGCAAGTCAACTAGGGATGTCAGTGGGACGGGTCAAATAGGAGACCCGCCCCAACGGGGCGGGGACGGGGCGGGGATGGATCTTGGTTTGGCGGGTGGTGGGGCGTGGATGGGGATAAAAACCATACCTGCCATGGGTGATGGGGCGGGGGTGGATTTTAGGTTGTACCCGCCCCATCCCCGCCCCGCCCCACCCGCCCCACTTCGTACCCGCCCCATCCCCACCTACCCCACTTCGTACCCGCCCCATCCCCACATCCATATTTTTTTAAAACAAAATTATATACTTTTATACTATTTTATAAAAAAAATTATGTAAAATAAAATAGTAAATATAATATTTTGTAATACACTTATATTATAAACAAAAAAAATATGTAATATTAACAATAATTTTTTTATTTTTGCAATCTTTATTAATTATGAAGGATTGTGTATTTGGGAGGGGGGGATTAGACGGGTCTTAGGTGGGGGTGGATATCCAAGTGGGGGTTGGGGTGGGGATGGTTTTGGAATTATCAATGAAGCTGAAAAGAAGACAGGAGTGCCAAGTGGAGACTGTTAGCTCCACTATCCAAAGAATTAGAAATGTGGCATCCATTGGTGATGAGTAGTTATCGCCTGTGGGCCTGTAACCGCTTAATGATCATCAAGATGTAAACCCAATGAAATAGTAGTGTGGGTATGCATAGTTTATTGCTAGGTGATTATCCCATGTGCATGAGAGACTTAGCGGCTGTTATTGCTGGATGGTTATTCTAAAGCCATGCAATCTTATAATATAGAAGCACCACTAATAGTAGCTGGTTATACTTGCAATCCTCACTGATAGTCTATGAGAAACACGCAAAAGTCAGGAGACTCCACAAGCAACATGCATTCCTGGCTTAGACAGCGTCCCTCTGTGCGGTCTGTGCCTATATTTTAACACTCTTCAACTTTGGGTCACTCCACTTGCCCCACACACACACACTGTCACACACAGAGGCTTTTTAGCACACCATGGCGAATGCCTTATTACATTAAGTTTAGTGATGTTTCATTCTGATCTCAGAGGCATCAATAAGATTTGTCTAATTAAAAAATTACCAAACTACGGATCAGATGAACAGAAACAAAATGTCATAAAAATTGACAAGATCAGTTGTTCAAACTTGCTGTAACCTGTCCTCAAAAAAAAAATTAGAAAAAGAGGCTTTCAACAATACAGATGACTCAAATCCTTAAATAAAGCACTCCAAAAAAGAAATTGGGCAAGACACAATACCTTGAATTCCTTGTTTTCCTTGTTCACCTGAATGCGAAGACATACTACAGCAAAAAAATAATTTATAAGGTTTAAGCTCCAAAGCAAACTTTAAAAAAAAAAAACTCTTAATGGAAAATATAGATAGATGACTAGACATACCAGCAAGAACAGCTGTACCAACACAAGAAAGTACACCAGACAGAAAAGAGTTGAATGGAAAAGATCCAACTACTGCCATATAAGCCACCTGTTTGGGAACCGATTAAAGATATTAGGTGTCACATATGTTAGATGATAAACAAAAATAAGTTAAAACTCAAAAGGATGTAGTTTCATGCTAAACCAGCAACTATCTGAGCAGCATGTCACGACTGACACTTTCCACAGTGCTATAGCACAACAAACCCCTTGCCTGTTTACAGGCACTAATACATAAGTCTTTAATATTTACTTGAAGAATCTCACATGATAAAAACTTAAAAAGACCACTTTTTTTAATCTTCAAAAATAAATACATTTAAAGAAGTGAAATTAAAGAAGACATCCCTCCACAAAAGAATAATAGCATGAAGGCCCACCCCAATAAATAAAATGCTAAATTTAAGGAGCTTTCTTCAGATGTTGAGCTGCCTAAACAATCAATGAAGCTGAAATACCCACTTGACCACAAAGACCATATAACAGCAGCACGGCGCAGATATCTTACTTCGTAAAACAAACCATAATGTCCATAATACTTGCTTATTTGCTCTACCAATTGACCAAAGCCGAATCAATGGCAGATCTTGCAGTTGGGGGGTGGGGGGAGGCAAGGTTTGAGTCTCCAACCTCTTGGTCAAAAATAGAATACTTAACCACTAGAATATGAAACCCACTTTTTCACTAATATCAGGAGCCTAGGCTATGAATTGAAATCCACGAATTGCTAGCAAAGTAATCTTCTCCAATTACTTATCATTAAAAATTACATTATATAAAGCATGACTGCATGAACACATATTTCTCTCCCAATTAACTAAAAGCAAAGAAACATTGGTGCTAGGTAATAACTCGAGGAAATAGCAATGTCGTATGGATGACCAAGATAATAAAATCATGACAAATAGACATGTGTATATCTTCATTGATTTCTCATTACCTAATACATTAGCATCTAAAGAGGGAAATGGATGCAATGAAGATTGAAGGAAAAACAAAAACCCACGTGGTCACATGCTTGCTAGTGAAATGCATTGCCTAATACATTCATATGGACACGAGAAAATATCAATCAAATTACACAACGACTTGATTACCATTTCCCTTCATTATCTTACATCAAATAAGCTGACTATGTTCAATGTTCATCACCATTATCAAAATCTATACTGTACTCCTATTTCTCCTTGGGTCAAAATTCAAGTCCCAAATTGCACAAGATTTTCCTGTAATCTTCTAAACCCAACAAAACCAACCTTGCATCTACATAACTATACTTTTTGTTTTGACTACACTAAAAGAAATCATACACAATAGGAAATACAAAAGGTTGTAGTTATGATCAATGTGTCTTTTACCTGATCTACCAGCTAGAAACAAAATAATAATACATAGATTTCCACACAAAGAAAAAGGCACATAAGTCATTTGCAAGTGAAACCTAGAAAACTACTCCCTTTGTTCTCTATTAAAGTTCCTACTTGATATTGGCGCAACTTTTAAGAGTAAGAGTAATCGACTAATTGTTGAAGGTGAATAAAACATAAAGAAAGTGGAAAAATAAAAAATAAATTAAAATATAAAAAAGAGAAGGTATAAGGATCGAGAGTGAAAAAAGATTTATGAGATGGAGATAAATCAGTGAAAGATAACAATATCCTGTCCCACACTATATTTCACACTTCCCTTAAAGATGTCACAATTCATCTTTCACCTTTCTCTTTTCACTTAAAAATTTTCTCTCCATCACATCAACTTTTTTTCTCTCTCCATCACTCTCCATTCTCCTAATCTTTATTCTGTTTCTAACAATCTCAATTTATTTCTAGTTTTCATTTAACATTCCATCAAAGTAAGATGCACTTCCCAACAAAATGAGGAACACTAACATAATCCATTAAATTCAGCAGTCTTTAAAAAAAATTCGGACAAACAACTCAAACTATCCTTGAAAGTTTTGTGGCTATAATCTA